TGGCATTTCTTTGTCTAAATTTGCAAAACATGTTCTGTGGTTGCAACAAAAATGGCAAAAAAAAAAATGCATTTTAAGATACAAGCAAATTTAATGTACAAAGCTGAAAGAGGAAACCTTCAAAGCTGCTGCAAAAGGTTTCTTTTCAAAGTTTTGACACCAGCGACGTCACAAGGTACTGACTCAGAGGGCTAATAAGAGACGGACAACAAACTTGTTGGATTTGTATTTTGTAAACCATTTCATAAACCAACCATCCATCTTCTATAGCCCTTTTTCTCCAGGGTCATGGGAGCACTTGGTGCCAATCCTCTGCTGTCTTTGAGCAAAAAGGAAGCCAGTCTATCGGAGGGACCGTATCCTCACAACAGTTATGATTATGGGGGAAGCCAGAATAGCCAATATGATCCCAGAGATACACTGGGAGAACGTGGAAGGTTAATCTCATCAGAACCTTAGGATTCTAACCCAGGACCTTCTTTCTGCTACATATTGTACCGCCATGCAGCCCAGTATCATAAACTCTGCATCCTCACCCTTTCATATCACAAATATTGCTTGAATTTGAGCCGAAATACAAAAATTCTGTAGAAATTTTGTTGCAAAATTAGGAAAAAAATGGTTAAAGGGTATGAATACTTAGCCCGAAATCTTTTAACCACGCTATTCAGACTCATTTTCTGTAGGATTTATTAGGTAAACGCTGCAAAAACGATCCACACTGCAAAAAATGGAAATCTAATGAAGCAATTTTTACTTAAAATAAGTGAACTTTTTCTCCAATTCAGTACGAAAGTGAGACACTTTACATTTAAAAGAAGAAAAAACAATTGCATTGTCTTATTTCAAGTTCATATTATCTAATTATCTTATTTTAAGAGTAAACACTGGAAAAAAATCTAAATCTATATAAGTCATTTCTTCTTAAAATAAGTGCATTTGTTCTTGAATTGAGGAGGTTAAAGAGACATTTTGCCAATGGAACAAGACCATTTACATTTAAAATAAGAAAACGCAATTATATTGTCTTATTTCAAGTGCATTTTATCTAAATATCTTATTCTAAGAGTAAAAATACTCATTCCATTGGCAAATCATTTCATTTACCTACTCAAATTAAGGGTGAATACACTGAATTTAAGAGATTTTTACTTATTTTTAGATCATTTCTCCAGTGAAGATACTAATTTAATTGGCAAATCATCGTATTTAGAAATTAAGACATTTTTACTTATTTCTACATCATTTTTGCAGCGTAGAAATAACTTAAAATTTCTTAAATTAAGTGTATTCACCCTTAATTTGAGCAGGTAAATGAGATAGTTTGCCAATGGAATGAGTAAATTTATTCTTAAAATAAGATAATTAGATAAAATGCACTTGAAGTAAGACAATGCAACTGTGTTTTCTTATTTTAAGTGTAAATTGTCTTGTTTCATTGACAAAATGTCTCTTTTAGCTCCTCAATCCAAGAACAAATGCACTTATTTGAAGCAAAAATGACTTATCTAGATTTAGATTTTTTGCAGTGAACAAAGCAGCCTCACATGACACTTGGCCACACTCCTCACTGGAAAAAATCTTCATCTAGATAAGTCATTTTTTCCTAAAACAAGTGTGATTTTTGTTGAATTGAGGAGGTAAGTAAAACTATTTACCATTGGAACAAGACAATTTACATTTAAAATAGGAAAAACCCTGTTTCATTGTCTTATTTCAAGTGTATATCATCTAATTTCCTTATTCTGAGAGTAAAAATCCTCATTCCGTTGGCAAATCCTCTTATTTTCTGCTCAAATTAAGGGTAAATGCCCTTTATTTAAGACATTTTGACTTATTTCTAGATCGTTTTTGCACTCCTCCCTTCCCCATCTTATCTCCAGGAGCAACTCCACCAGCTGATATATTGTCTGCTCGGCTTTAAACAGAAGGTACTTTAGGATGAGTCGGAGAGGCTGTTGGGGGGCCAGAGCCACTCAGGTGTGGAGCTGAGGTCAGCGATTACAAAGGCAACCCTCCCCGCCAGCAGCAGCAGCGAGAGAAAATGATCAACTATAAAGCTGTAGAAAGAAAAATCAATTCCCTGCAGCAAGCATGACGGTTAGGCTGGGAGCCTCCAAGTGCAGCAAAGGGACTGAGGGGGGGGGGTGGAGGCGGTCTTCCTGTGCCAAATGGTCAGTGTTGTTCAAACCCAAGTGTGCGTTCCTACACCTTGCACCAACAAAGGCTGCGGTGCCTTTTGGCCGACCGGCTGAGCGTTTGGACAGCTGGTCTCATTAGCGCTAACATGCTAGCACGCAACAGGAGGACGACTCCTACGCATCTGAGAGAGAGAGGGAGAGAAGGCATCAGGAGGTGGAGGAGGTGACGAGCTTACTTCTGAAAAGTTTGCTTTTTCTACATAGGCTGCAATGTGTTCAACACCTGAGAAAATAGCACGGCTCAGATCCCGACTTCACAACACCCACACGCAAAGATCACATCCTGTAGATCTGGGTAAGAAGACGCCATCAACACAATCTCAGCGCCGTGCGTCCCCTGATTGGCTGAGTTTTTTAGCAAATAGCTCAACTATATGAACTGGTGAGGCAGCATCAGACAGTTCGTGTCAAGTAGGTCTGTTGTAGGGGAGGGGGGGTGTTGTTATGGCACCTGCCAGCCTGTATCAGTTACCGGCGCTGGAATGAGAGACTGACTGGGCCGGGTCCTAAAACAGGTTCGACATTACTCTGTTGGACAGGAGGGGGGGCACCTTGGCAGATTGTCAGCAGGATACAACATGAAGCGCCATATGTTCCTCCGGTCCGGTTCCCATTGTTGGTTCTCCATTTCTTATTTCAGGTCGTCGTTATTTAATCCAGACCTGATTGGTGAACCGTTTCAGGAATTCCAAAGAGGAGGACTCGGACTCCGGCCGGTTGCTCAGTCCGGGTTTTCCGACACTGAGACATGTCAGATAAGCCGGGGATATCTCAACCTCCGTGGGAGTGAACTGGCACAGTGTTTTCTAGATAGTTGAGGTGTGAGTGGCTGGCTCTGCTAATTCTGACACAGAATAACACATAGAGCCTGTGAAGACCCGCATTAGTGTCTAAAAACAGCTTGTACCTTGATTCATTACCTATAAGGACATCTGTTAGCAACTTGAAACCTACACCTCTTCTGTGCAGCCCTATGGTCCTGCACCAGAATGTGTAGGAGGTATGTCTGGAATGTCCAACCAAAACACTTTTCTCTGAGTTTGGCTC